CCTGAGGTAGCCCTTTAGGTGGTGGACAGGGAATGTAGGAGGTAGGAGGTAGCTGGGGGCAAGTCCAGGTAGGCAGTAGCAGGCTCCAGTTGACAGAGCTGAGGCCCAGGTGTAGGACTTGCCGTAATTTAGCCTCCCTCCCCTGCAGGTGTCAGGCCATGGAATTGTACACCTGGCCCAGGAAGTCAGAGGACTTGTGTGGTTGATCTCCAGAGCAGGTAGAAGAAGGGCTACTGCACCACGAAGATGAGCCAGCTGTGGACCACAGGGGTAGCTGAGTATGCAGCTGCCTGTACCCTGTGCCCATTGGCTTCAGCATGGTCTGGTGCCAGATCTCTGGTGCTTGTAGAGCCAGGTCCTCTGTCAGTCTGTGTGGGTTGAGATCATAAATGCAATCAAAGGATGCTAGTTTCCCCGTGATGGACAGCATGTCCTGGCTGCTTTTTGCGTTGACCTAAGGCTTCATCAGGAAAGTGGGCTAGAACTTACACAGTTCCAGCTCTCTCATCATGGCCATGAAAACAGTGCGGAGAACCCGTTCCATGGCTTTGGGGTGATTTTCTACTTCTGGGGCACCAGGGTCACTGAGCTCAGCTGCAGCTGCACTACCTTGGCTTTCAGAGTCAGGTTGGTGAATTGCTGCTCATTATGGATACGTCAATCAGAGAGGTGTTTTTGCTTCTGTTTTTTGGTGCTGCTGGGGATTGAACATAGGGTTAGTATATCACTGAGCTACATCCCCTGCCCTTTCTTTGCTTCTATTTTGTGGTACTGGAGATTGAGCCCAGAGCTACTTCATTTGTCAGCCTAGTTCTGGGGTTGCTTGTATGTTTTTTTTTTTAAATTTTGTTTTTATTATTTATTTAGATTTTTTTTTTTAAAGAGTGGGTCTTGCTGTGTAGTTCAGGCTGACCTTGAACTCACTATGTAACCTAGGCTGACCTCGAACTCACAGTGATCCTCCTGCTTCAGCCTCCTAACTGCTGGGATTACAGGTGTGGGTCACCGTGCCTGGCCTAAATTTTTTTTATCTGGCCTAAATTTTTATTTTTATTTTCATTTTTATGATACAACTTTGTAGTACATGGATTACATTCACTGTGGGGAGTTGTTACATGTATGTAACACATCTTAATTCTTTTTATTTCCCCTTCTCTTATTCTCCCTTCCCTATTCCTCCATCTCCTAGTCCCCTTCTCATTTGCAAAACATCTGTCTCCCTGTTTCCCATTATGTCTTTTTTTTGCCCTTTAATTTATTTACACTTTTGTTTTCTCATATATGAGAAACCATGTAATACTTAAGCTTATGTGCCTGATTTATTTCACTTAACATTATAGTTGTAAGGTGCATCCGTTTCTTACATCAGATTTATCCTTTATAGTAGAGTAGTACTCCACTCTCTTTTTTGTTTGTTTGTTTTGTTTTTTTTAGACAGGGTCTCACTGTGCAGTGCAGGTTGCCCCTGAACCCCTTTATGTAGCTCAACCTGGCATCAAATTTGTGGTGATCCTGCTGCATCTGCCTCCTGAATACTGAGATTACAGGCCTGCTGTACTACGCCCAGCTAGTACTTCACTCTGTATAAATACACTTCCTTTCTATTTATCTGTGGGTAGGCATACAGGCTGGTTCTAAGATTTAGCCTTATAGCTGGGTATGATGGCTCACACCTGTAATCCCAGTATTCGGGAGGTTGAGGAGTATGGTTGTAAATTCAGGGAGACCCTGTCTCAAAGAAAAAATAGCTACTGTGAGTTGTGCTACTGTAAATATGGGTACACGTGTATCACTGTAATATGTCTTTAACTCTCTGGGGAAGATTCCTAGAAGGAGAATAGCTGGGTCAGGTGGAATTTCTAGTTTTAGTTTTTTGGGGTATCTCCATACTTATTTCTGTAGTGGTTGTACTTAGCGTACATTTCCACCAACAATGTAGAAGGGTTCCTTTTTCCCAGCCTCACCAGCATTTGTTATTGTTTGATTTCTTGATGATGGACATTCTTTCTGGGTGGATGGAATCTCAGTGTTGTTTTATTTTGCATTTCTCTAATGGCCATCCACATTGAACATTCTTTCATGTATTTACTGACCATTTGCACTTCTGATAAGTGTCTTTTCATTTCATTTGCCCATTTTCGATCGTTTTTCATTTTGAGAAGGTCAGATTTTTTTTGAGCTCTTTATATATTCTAGATGTTAGTTCTCTGAGGAGTAGCTGGCAAAAATCTTTCCCTTTTATGTAGGTTGTACTCTGTTGGTTGTTTCCTTTGCTGTGCAGCTTTTTAATTTGATGTGATTGCACTTACTGATTCTTGATGTTATTTCTTGTGCAGTGGGATTCTGTTCAGGAAGCTCTTGCCTATGCCTATGTCTTCAAGAGTTTTACCTATTTTGTCTTCTGGTGGATTGTTTCTGTTTTAAATATCAATCTTTGATCCATTTTTATTTTGTTTTTTATTTAGTACATGGTGAAAGCTATGGGTCTAGATTCAGTCTTCAATCTTCCGGTATAGCCAGTTTCTCCAGCACCATTTGTTAAGGAGGCCGTCTTTCCTCCAGTGTGTTTTTGGCCCCTTTGTCAAAGATCAGATGGCTGATAGGTTTGTTTCTGCATCCTACATCCTATTCTATTGATCCACATTTCTGTTTTTGTGCAAGCAGCATGTATTGGTTTAAAGGCCTCTTTGGAATATACACCTAAAGGCAGAGCACAAAATGAGAGTTTACTAGCCCTCTTGTTCTCTGATGATAGAATGTTAGTAGAGATGTTTACAGCTTGGTTATATTTTGGAGGGGTGGGTAACTGCACATTTGCAGCTATGCATTTTCTTTTTTGGTAATGGGAATCAAACTCAGGACCTTGAGCTTGCCAGGCAGGCCCTGTGCTGCTGAGCTATATCCCTGGCCCCGCATTTTCTTAACATTAATCTCTAAAAACGAGAAGACTTTTTACTGTAACTTACTTAGCAACATTCAGAAATGCTCTGCTTGCAAAGTCGAGTTGTTGCTGTGTAAGCTGTTTAACATTAGGTCATCTGGAATTCTGAGCTACCGCAGAGCCAACTAAAGACTGTGGGAAAACACAGAGAAGGAAGAGGACCACACAGTTATTAATTCCGTTCTCCCTTTAGTTTTCTTTATTTGTGCAATGGAAGACACACATGTATAATGTACTGTACATTTTCTAGTGGTAGAAGAAAGTTTCTTGTTTGAGATAGGCAGAAGAGGACACCCTATGATTTAAGAGGCTGTCAATATTCGGGGGTAAGAGTGCAGTGGACACAGGTTAAATGAGATAAAGAACAGACCTGGTACTCACCCTAAGGCTCTATTTATATGTATATTTTTTTCTGTGTGCGATTTTGCTTTTCAGCAGTTTTATTTACTTAAAGACGACTGATATCCTTACTGGTAAATAACCTCAGTAGCTGAGTACAAAGGCTTCAGTGTTAAATGGTGACTCTAAAATTATTTCCCTTTCTCCTGGTTGTGTTGTGATAGTAATAGTGATCATGAGTGATAATGCAGGTGGTAATATAGTGTCCCTCGACTGCACTTACGGTGTGCCAGGCAAAATACATTTTACAGGTAGCAACTTACTTAATCCTCATAACAACCCTGTGAGGTAGCTGTTACTCTCTCCATTTTACCGATGAGTGATGGAGGTGCCAAGAGGTTAGTAACTGATGAAGAACAAGTAACTAGTCAGTGGCAGAGTCAGGAATTGATCTGAGGCAGCCTGGCGCCAGGCTCCTTCCTCCTAATCATAACACTGTGCTGCACTTATTTGACACCCATATAACTAAAGGGAAACATGAGATAAAAAATGCTTTTAACATCTTTGTGGGCTCTGTGGAACTTATTATTTGTTCATTCAATGCTCCATGTAGAATCAGTGATTACAGAGAGAACATTTAATCCCAAAGCATTCATTCCTGTTTTCCAACTAGTATTTTCAGATCTGTTCTCCATCTGAGGCCTTGCATTTACACAAAGTACACTTGAACTTTTTAGTTGAATTGTCAGATCTAGAGCTTACAGACAGGATATTGCCATTGAATATTTAGACTGTATGTGCCGGCCCCCTGAAGCAGTAATTTGGATAGAGCACAGTGTTTCCACCAGAGTACAGCAGTATTGGGGGTTGTGACTTCAAAGTCTGTGTGTGTGTGTGTGTGGTTTTTTTTGTTTTTGTTTTTTGTTTTTTGTCTTTTTGAGACAGGGTCTCATTATACAGTTCAGGCTGGTCTTGAACTCACTTTGTAGCCCAGGCTGGTCTCGAACTTGCAATGATCCACCTGCCTCAGCCTCCTGCGTGCTGGGATTACAGGCATGCACCACCACGCCCGGCTGTGTGTGTGTTTTATATGTATCTTTGTAGATAGGCCATTGCTTTTTTTTTTTTCTGGTACTGGGAATCAAACTCATGACCTCACGCTTGCCAGGCAGGCACTCTGCCTAGATAGGCCATTTCTACACAAAATAGAATCTTAACATGAATTCTAAAAAGTTTTTAGAGCCCTTTAAGAAATGTCTAAGCATTTTGAAGTAGAATTATGAGCAATGTAAAATGTTACCTTTCTGGAGACTTGTGATAAGTGGAATAAATAAAACAGCCTGCTCATTTTTAAATAAAGTTCAAGCCTAGAGAACCTCCTTTTAATCTTGTAAAATTAGTTCTCAGTTGGATAGAACTCTACCACTGAGCCACATCCCCAGGTAACTTGGGCACACAGTTATATACTCGTAAGTCTGGCTTATCATAGTAATAGCTACTGTTTAAGTTTTTTAAAAGCCAGTGCTCTATTTTCTTCTTCCTGTGACGTAGGTTTTGTGAGCTGACTGTACTCTCAGAACACAGGGTAGACCTGGTGCTTTGGGTCAGGTGTTTGATGGAAGAAGTCATAGAGGGAGAGAGGAATAGATCAGCATTTCTTACTCATCAAGTATACGTTTTATGGAAGCAGATGACTTTCTCACATTAATCCTTCCTCCAGGTCTATGAAGGACTAGACATCATCACCAACAAAGTTTCTGCCCAAGAGCAGAGAATCTGCCAGCACCACATGATCAGCTTTGTGGATCCTCTCGTGACCAATTACACAGTGGTGGACTTCAGGAACAAGGCAACTGCTCTGATATCCTTAAGGAAAATCAGCAACTAGGCTTAGTAAGCAGCCTGACGTAAGCAAGAAGTTTTCTTTCTAGCGGCACTTTCTTTTCAAGGGGCACCAACAACCTATCTACCAATAGGTAGCATCACCATCAGATCTATGTGGATTGAAAGGAGTGGTACTACAAGTCTTGTCCTCAGAGCGCAGCCTCAGCGTCCCCTCAGACCTGGTGGGTCCAGCTCCACACCTACTGAATTGGAATCTACTGTGTAACAAGAGGCTGAGGCAATGCTTACGCACGGTACAATTTGGGGAAAACGGTTTTAGTGACAAGAGCACTGATTTAGGAATCAAAAGATTTGTGTTCTGGCCCTAAAACTGCCTATTTTGACCAGGTGAATTTTGTGGGGTAAAATGTTTATTTAGCCACACTGAGCTTGTTTCCTGACGTTTTGGTGGGTATATAAAATTGTTATAAGTACAGTGGAGTTCTAGTTAAAGTTTTAAAGGGATTGTTGGATAGGAGAGGGCTAAAAAAATAGTTCTGAATGAGAGTAAGAAGATTTTCAAATAAGAAAAATACCTGGGGGACTACCCTTTTATATTTTAAAATCCAACTTTAACATCTGAACTACAATGTCTTAAAACATTGAAAAATTATAGCAGTTATAAATAACATAGAGTTTATATGACATACGGTAAAAAAGGAGTGAATTAATTTAAAAGTCATTACAGTAAAAGACACATTATTTCAGACATACTTATCCCATCATTCTTGCCACTTTCTGAAAGTCCTCTTTCACAAGTGTTTCTAGTTGCTAGGTCATGGCTGCCTTAATGTCCTGAATCAATTCAAAACATACACCTTTCATGGTCATTTTGACTTTGGGAAAGAGCCAAAAATTGCACAGTGCCAGATCCAGTGGATAAGGCAGATGAGGACATACCATAATGTTTTTATTTTTATTTTTTTAGGGTGAACAGGCTATTATTTTTGTTTCTGTTTTTGGTTCTGGACATTGAACCCAGGAAGCACTGAGCTATATCCCCAGTCCTTCTTATTTTTAAGACAGGATTGCATTAAGTTGCCCCAGTTGGGCTCTCACTAAGTTATGATCCTCCTGCCTCAGCCTCCCAAGTAGCTGGGATTACAGGTATGTGCCATAATACCAGCACCTGGCTGGTTTTTTTTTTTTTTTTTTTTTTTTTAAGGTGGGCAGTGTATAAATTGGGAGTTACTCTTTGCTTTAGTAATAGTGGCTCAGCTGTAGTAGCTTAAACCCTTAAGGGTTTGTTCTCATATGGAAGCCTCGCTGCAGGCTGTCCAGAGCCGGTGTTTGGGTTCCATAGAGTCAGCAGGGGTCCAGCTCCTCAGGGTCTTTGGTTCCAGCCTCTCAGCAAGCAGTTTCTATCCTCAAGGTCATAGCAGAACTACCAGAAGCCCCACATTGGGAGGCAGCAGTGAGTTCACATGAGTGTGACAATCCAGCGGGGAGCTGATTACCAGAAGGACCAGTTATGTTACCATGAGACCAGAGTGCTGGAGCTTGGAGCCACCATGACCTCATTTGCATTGTAGTTTTTCTATAATTTTTTTTTGAGACAAAGTCTCATTATGCAGTCCAGGCTAGCCTCAAAGTCAAGGTGATCCTCCTGCCTCAGCCTCCCAGGTGCTGGGATTACAGGTGTGTATCACCATGCCCAGCTTCCGTATGTTCTTATGAGCCTGCCTTTCTGTTGGATGGCTCTCAGCAGCAATATTCACCATGTGTTTGATCACATCTCATAGAAGACATGGAAGGACTTCAGAAATGCTTCAGAAAGTGGCAAGAACGCTAAGTGTGTCCAAAGTGAAGGGGATTAGTACAATGTGTCCTTTACTGTTCTTTAAAATTTAAACATTTATTATATATGTTGATTGCTCCTTGTATAATACTAGATAGCCTGGTGTGGTGGTGCACACCTGTAATCCCAGCATTTGGGAGGCTGAGGCAGAAATACTGGTGCAGGTTTGACGCCTGACTGGGCTACATAGTGAATTCAAGCCTGCCTGAACTGTATAGCAAGACACTGCCTCAAACAAACAAAAGCAAAAAATATGTAAGCACCCAAATTCCTGCTTACAGAATAATTACTCATAGATGCATTCTCATATAAATTAAGTAGTTTTCAGCAGTGAAAATGGATGAATTGCAGCTACATACATCAGTCAAGGTGGAAGAATCTCAAAAACAATGTAAGCTGGTTGTGGTCGTGCATGCCTATGACCCCAGCACTCTGGGAGGAGGGGGCAGGAGGATGCAAGTTCGAGCTCAGCCTAGGCACCTGACCAGCTTAGGGAAAGCTGCCTCAAAATACAGGAGGGCTGGACATGGAGCTCAGTGGGGCAGTCCAGGTATTGCAATAATCCTGAGTATTGCAAAGAAAGTAAAGGAAAAGAAACTGTATGTGTGGAATATTACAGAAGATGTATGTCAATGCCATTGTATGATACATAAAGGTTAAAAAAGTAGACAGAACTAACTACACATACCTGTCAAGGATATGTATACACTAGTAATAATGTAAAACAGTGAGGGAATGATGAAAAAGAGGCTAAAAAAACAGTTCAAAATGGTGATTCCCTTTGAGGGGGGAAGTGGGGATTGGAATGGGCATGGATGTACAGGTGGCTTCAAAGGAATTCATAATACTCTGTTCCTTATTTTGGGCTCGTGAGCATTTGTTTTATTATTAGGCTTCATAATTTACATGTTTTCTATGTATGGAGTATGTTATGATAAAAATTCAAGAGATGGAAAATAGCCCACTATAAACACAGTTTAAGAATGGACTACAAACCTGGGGGGAAATATTTGTAACATAGGAAATACAAGTGGTTAATATTCTGAGTATATGAAGAACTCTTGTGAATCAATACAAAAAATAGTTGAAGGTCATGAGCAATATTTCACAAAGGAAGAAATATAAATGGTGATATATATGAAAAAGTTTATTAACCTTGCTGTTAATCAGGGGCATGCAAATCAAAATAATGAGGTAATTTGTTTGCCTGTCAAATGGGTAGATTAAAATGCAAATAATAATTTCTGCTCTACCTACTTCATAAGGGTGTTTCATCAGATGAGATAATGTATATGAAAGCCCTTTGCAAATTAATACATATCACCAAATGTAAGTTGTAGCTATGAGTTCATTGTTCAGAAAGAACTGATACAAAATGGAGAGCTAATGAAGATTTTTCAAAGGGCAAAAACAATGGGAGTATGTCCTCAGATCATTCATAGATTAGGAGAGTTGTGAATTTCAGTAAGAACCTAGAATCAAAATATCAGACTAAAATACCTTATGTATCTAGTCAGCACTTCTGTTCTGTTCTGTTTTGTTTTGTTTTGTTTGCAGTATAGTGTCAATATGTTGGCTAGGCTGTCCTCAAGCTCAATTGACCTCCTGCCTCAGTCTCTTGAGTAGCTGGGTGCTACCTGGGCACAGACAGCCTCCTGGTGCTGCTCCCTCCTTCCTCCCCTTCCTTTTTTGGTGTGGCACTAGGGACCCTATGAGGGCCTCCTGCATGCTAGGCAGGCACTCTTCCATTGAGGTACATCCCCAAGTCCTCTCCTAGTCTTGATTTGACAGATGTACATAAAAGATACTGAGGCCCAGAGAAGAGAGTTTTGTCTAGAATCACAGTAGTTTTGTGGCTGGGGGAAACAGTTAAACCTTTTTTTTTTTTTTTTTTTTTTAGACAGGGTCTCGCTGTGCAGTTCAGGCTGACCTTGAGCCCACTTTGTAGCCCAGGCTGGCCTCAAACTCGCAACGATCCTGCTGCCTCAGCCTCCTGAGTGCTGGGATTATAGGCATGCGCTACCACACCTGGCTTAGTTAAACCTTTTTCTTCATATCTTAGTCACTATTTTGTCACTAAAACAGAATCCCCGTCACCTGCAGTTTAAAGAAGAGATTTATGTTGGCTCCTGTTTTTGGTGGGTTCCATCCATAGTGGTGTGTTGGGAGGGTGTGGCTGAAGAAAGCTGCTCACCTGGCAGCCAGTAAGCACGGAGGGAGGGAAGGAGCTAGGAGTAAACACACACCCTTCCAGGTCACTCCTGTGGTGACCTGTGACCAGGCCCCAGCTACTAGCACATTCATCCCTGGGTTAAGCCACCTTTGAGTCTACCACCGCTGTGATCCAGTCACCTTGTGAAAGCTGTGCCTCTGACCGCATGAGACTTGCGGGGAGGGTCATTCTAGATCTAAAACATAGCACACTTAATATCATATGTTTCATTCTCTTCCCTTTTTTTTTTTTCATCTGGCCCTTCTGGCATTCCATTATTTTTTTCCTCTTTTCCTTGCTCCCCTTTCCTTTGTTAACTGTGTTGTATAATTGAAGTTTTATTTTACTCTAGTTATATGCTCCCTACACTTGTAGAGAGAATAGAGAATTTCTCTTGTTAAAACAAATAGACAATGTTTTTTCTTCGTGAACCTTCATTGGTAACATCTTTCTTTCTACTCCATCCAGCCCAGCGTCTTGAGAGTTAGTAAGCTTCTGATAGAGGCCATCTGTTTCCATGCCTACCGATACTAGCAGTAAGGGAAAGGAATACTGTATGTAAATCTCTCTGCCTGTCTTTCTGGGTCCCTGGCCAGCTTCCCCTCCCTAGTCCTCCCCTCTACCCTCCTATGCAGTTCAGGCTGACCTTCTCACTGTATAGCCCAGGCAGGCCTCAAACTTGCAGCGATCCTCTTTCCTCAGTCTCCCAAGTGCTAGGATGACAGGTGTGCACTACTGTGCCCAGTGAAGAAGAATCAGAAGTTTAAGCCCAGCCTGGGCAATTTAATAATTTAGTGAGATCCTGGCTCACATAAAAAGGGCTAGGATGTTGCTCAGTATAAAGGCCCTGCATTCAACTTTCCGTACCACAAAAAGAAAAATAAGAATTGAAAGGCTCAAACTACCAGGGATTTAAAAACTATAGTGGGCTCTCAGGGAGCAGGGGCCACACGGCTGCTCCTCCTGCAGCTGCATCTGGGGCGCCGCACTGACCAGAGGAGAGGCATGGGGCACCCGTGGACCGAGGCCTAGGTGGGCGGACCTGCGAGCAGACCCTGCTGGCAACCGCGTTGCTGCACAAGGCTGAGCCAGCCTGAGGTGACCGAGGGACCGGGTGCAGCCATAAGGTGAGCAGCTTTTCTCCACCGTGATGTTCTGCCTCACCTGAGATCCACAGCAATGGAACCAGCAATCATGGACTGAACCTTTTAAATCCTGGAGCCAAATAAACCATTTCCTCCTTTAAAAAAAAACAAACTATAGTGGCTAAAGTAAAGTAAATTGAGTACTTGCTATTTTCAGGCACTATAGTAGAGGCACTTAATGCTGTTGTGAACTTGGAGATTTTACAGGAGAGGAAACTGCAGTTCAGATAGGTTGAATAACTTGCCCAAGAGATACTTGGGCAGCTACTCTGGTTTGTCTCTATTTGTCTCAGGACTTGTGCTTTTCAGTGTGTCTGATGAATTTTCAAGTGGCTAAGAGGTGTACTGCTACCACATAAAGGTAGAGACTTATTGAGACTAAGGATGGCTTAGAGAAATCAGCTTGTGTTTTGTCTTAGAAGGCAAAGTCAACACTGGGTGTCACCTGGATGGCTTCCTGAGCAGCTGGTACTGTACTTCATTCTATGAGAGTCCTTATGCTTGTTAAACTGATTTGAACTACCAATAAAACTTTGACTTTTAGCAGCATGACCTGGAAAGTTCTAGAGCTGGTAGGAATTAGTATCGTACATTTGTCTCATTTATGTAAGTTTCCCAAGAACTAATTGGAACTGATTCTGTGAACTTTTGGGAAACATTGAAGGCTGATATCCCTTCATTTTGGTTTCTACACTTTCTCCTGTGCTCTGCAGACATGCATGCCAATACTCTCAAGTGAGTCAGGTTTCTCTTCTTGCTGTTAAATATCATGATATCTTTCTTAATATTCACATTGAAGATATATTTGCTCGAGACAAAATTCCTATTGTTGTGGGAGGAACCAATTATTATATTGAGTCTCTGCTCTGGAAAGTTCTTGTCAATACTAAGGTATGTTTGGTTTACTTTCTAACTCACCAAAGAAATGGGTTCCTCTTTCATGCCAGCTAATTTTAGTGGGAGGAAGGTTGACTCTTGTCTCTTGCTTAGATTCAGCAACTGTAATTTTCCTACTTAATATTCTGAAGCAAATGCCACCTCCATATGTGAAGTGTGCTCCTCTGGGCTGGCCTAAGGGCAGGGGCCGTGTGTGGGGAAAAGTGCTCCTGTGTGGATTAATTAGCATCCCCCTGTGAGCTACCAGTGTATTAGGCTTGTTCAGCATGTCCTGGCGGAGTGCACAAGTATAAGTCAGGGAGGTGTCCATCCTGAGCTTGTTATGGAGATGCTGCTTCCTAGGCCCAGACTCTGCAGGTGGCGGTGTTGCTGGGAAGACCAGATTCCTGCACACTGTAAAGCAGATGTCATACCGTACCAGCTTGTGTTTAGGACAAAGAAGCGGGGAAGCAGAGTCCTTCCCTTTACAGTGAGCCTTCCTTCCTCTTTATTTGCTGTGGCCTAAGGGCACTTACCACAACACTTTGGGATTGTTTTAACTTGTGGTCTGTTTGTCACTGCATGGCAAAATCATCTGATTCATCTCCTTTCTGTATTCCTAAAGCCTTATAATGTGGCATGTAGGCTGTTCCAATATGTATGGAACTGTTGAATTACATTTACTCTAATCCTTCGTTTTCCAGTCGTCTGAGGTGAGTCCTGAGCCAGTGGTTGACCGGAAAGTAGAGCTGGAGAAGGAGGACAGTCATGTGCTACACAGCCGCCTACGCCAGGTGGACCCAGAAATGGCAGCCAAGCTGCACCCACACGACAAGCGCAAAGTGGCCAGGTAAGAAAGTCCGGGTCTGCTGTCCCCAGAGTCCTTTAAACTCCAGTTTGCAGGTAGCAGAGAGGCTCGAAGTTGCAGTTAGAGATTGATGTGTTCTAGCTCAGCTGGCCCCGAGTCACTGCTACTGCCACTGCCTCGGTCCAGCTCCCTCAGCAAGCACCCTACTTTGTTGTTACATCTTTAAAGGCACAGTATGATATTGTGTTTCCTAAGGCTTATGCAGTCTTGCTTCATTTTCTGTTTGATCTTTGCTTGTATAACAATTTTCATATAATTTTTTTCTGGCATGCGGTCTGTTTACGTTGTGATTCGGGTTTCGTAATGGATTGTGCAATGCTGAGTCCTGCCCCAGCAGCTTTCCCACTGGGAGGCTGATGATTTGAACGTCTCACGGAGCAGCTCACCTTTGTGCAGGGAGACTTTTTTGTAGGGATGTGAGGTGCTGCATAAACTCACAGATCGTGTTCCCCTAGGTTGGCTTGTAATTGCAGCCTCATGTGTTAACTTAATTTTTCTTCAGTGTTGTGTGTGATTAGCATATGTGGCACAGTAGAAGATCTAATGAAGATCTTCCTATATGGATGATTACAAACAGATTAAATATTATAGTAACTGCTGGTAGCAATAGAGTTATGAAATATGCTACTCAAATGATTTTTCTGGATCAGTGTTTCTTGGCCCCTTAGGAGTGCTTTAAGAACTTTTTTCCCTAGTAGGACCCCACTCCCAGCCTCGAATGAAGTCTCACCTTAGAGAATAAGATTTTTGGGTAGGACACAGCACTTTTTTTTTTTTGTCTCTTTGAGACAGAGACTCACTATGCAATTCAGGCTGGCCTTGAGCTTACTTTGTAGCCCAGGCTGACTTCGAACTCTAAATGATCCTCCTGCCTCAGCCTCCCAAGTGCTGGGATTACAGGCAAGTGCCACCACACCTGGCCACAGCTCATTTTTACCCCCAATTCTTTGAAGGGAGTATCACCCTGGTGAGATTGCATGTTGTAGAATGAGGTTTAGATTTTCTCTTCTCTTTTTTTTTTTCTTTGTTTTTTTGAGATAAGGTCTCACTATGCAGTTCAGCCTAACCGTAAACTTACTGTATAGCCAAACTGGCCTCAAACTCATGGTGATCCTCCTGCCTCAGCCTCCCAAGTGCTGGGATTATGGGTGTGTGCCAGTGTGTGAAGCCATTTTTACATTCTTTATGACATTCTAGAGCCTATCTTTATTATTATCTCTTTTGACTAATTTTTTCTTTTTTTTTTTTTTTTTTTTTTTTGCGGTACCAGGGATCAAACTCACGACCTCGCGCTTGCCAGGCAGGTGCTTACACCACTGAGGTATATCCCCTGCCCCACGACTAATTTTTTCTTATCACCTCTCATAAGCTAGTATATATTTTGCTGCTTTTTTTTTTTTGAGACAGGTCTCACTATGTAGTTCAGAGAGGACTTGAGCTCACTATGTAGCCCATGCTACATAGTGGTCTCGAACTTGAAGTAATACTCCCACCTCAACCTCCCAAGTTCTGAGGTTACAGACATCCACCATCATGCCTGGCTGTTTTGGTGCTTTTAAACTAATAATGTCTTGAGAATTGTGCCTTTGGGAGAGTCAGTAGCTTTCAAGCTCTAAGAGTTTCTCAAGATGATTAGAAGGATTTTTAAAAAATTGTTCTTTGGGTTGAGTGTATTCTAACCTCCAGATAGGTGAGATATTTGTTATATTTTTTCTCATAGGTCTTTTTAAAGTGACTGTCCATAATGAAGGACAAGGGATTTTACTCTGATGTTAGGCTATCAGGATGCAGAATTGACTCAGGAAGGGAAAGGTTATTTTCAAGCTGATAAATTGCAGTCAGCTGCTGTGATGGAATATAGATTTGGGAATTCAGTTATGGAGTGGTACATATACACACAGAAGTATATGGCAGTTGAAGGATAAGTATGTGAGGCTAGCTGTGGTACCACATGCCTATAATCCCAATATTCTGGGAGGCTGAGGCAGAAAGATTGCAGATTTGAACCCAGCCTGGAAAATTTAGTGAGACCTTATCTCAAAAGTAAATAGCCACACGTGGTGGCGCACACCTGTAATCCCAGCACTCGGGAGGCTGAGGCAGGAGGATCGTTGAGAGTTCGAGACCAGCCTGGGCTACAAAGTGAGCTCAAGGCCAGCCTGAACTGCATAGTGAGATCCTATCTCAAAAAGACCAAAAAAAAAATCTATTACATAGAATACACATTGACTTGAATCCCCCAGAAATACTCCCCCTTGCTTTGAACATACTTATACTATGATCCTTACCTTTTTTTTGTGTGTGTGTGTCTTTTTGAGACAGAGTCTCACTATGCAGTTCAGGCGGCCTTGAACTCACTTTGTAGCCCAGGCTGGTCTTCAACTCACAGTTATCCTCCTGCCTCAGCCTCCCAAGTGCTGGGATTGTAAGTGTGTGCCACCATGCCTGGCCGTTCTTCTCATTTTCTGGAGCAGCCCTGGAAGTCCTCTTTTTGTGTCTTTCCATGGTTTGCTCAGAAGCACAGTGGACTGCGCTGCTGAGTCCCACTTGTGGAAAGGCAGCTGCAGCCTCATCCACCTCACTCACTGGATCTGGTGCTGGGCAGTTTCTGGCTCTTCCCCAAAGTCAGAATGACTGTGAGAGGCACATGTTTTGAATCGATTTAGGACATTGAAGCATCTGTGATAGAGCAATTAAAGACACTCATAAAAGAAGACTTCCAGAACTGCTTTAGAAAGTGGCAAGCATGATAAGATAAGTGTGTTTGAAGCAAGGAAGAGTATTTGGAGAGGGATTATTGGCAATGTATTTTTTTAAAATTGTGAAATGTTCACTGTATTTTTTGATCATACCTTGTGTATAAGTTTTTTACTCAGTGATCTTTGTGCAGGTACAGTACTGGCTTAGCCAGGAACATTCTTTATTAATTTTAGTCATATTTGAAAAGAAAGCTGATGAGCTGGATGCACAACATACCTTTGTACTGTGGGAAAGGCACTCCAGCGAGACCAGACTTGTAGGCTAGTACAAAGTGTCCCAAACAAGTTCTTTTACTGCTACTTGAAAGTGAGTATATGAGTTCCATTCTGTTTGTGTAGAAGAAACCTGTTGTTTCTGAACCTATTTAACTGAGATCAGAATTATCTTTCACATAATATTTTTTTTCACTTTACCCAGAAAGTGACCACACCTTGAAATAACTCCACACCTTCTTTTGGGGCAGAAAGCATTTACTCAGTGAAATTGAAACAGATTTTCTGTAATCTATAGCTTTTCTCCTCTTCTTGCTTGAGAATGAATCTTGCCTAATGATTTGTATGGGTTCCTCACCCCCTGTAAAACAACTTAGGAGCTTACAAGTGTTTGAAGAAACAGGAATCTCTCACAGTGAATTTCTTCATCGTCAGCATTCAGAGGAAGGTGGCAGTCCCCTTGGTGGCCCTCTGAAGTTCCCCAACCCTTGCATCCTCTGGCTGCATGCTGACCAGACAGGTAAAAGTCCTTCGGTGTCCCAGAATCCATCTGTGGTAGAACTAAGAACAGTCAGTTGCTGTGTCTAAAATGCCTTGAGTCATGCGAGGCTCTTAGAACTAAAGCAGTCTTAACTATTAAGTTTATTATCACCATTATTCACTGACTTGGATGCAGCGCCGTTCTCCTGGTGTTTGTCTGGAAAGGGTGGAAGGGTCCTGGGTACTAGGATGAGACACCAGGGATGGGGTTGCACAGGGTGGGTGGGTCGGGAAGGACACTGACTGGAGGAGAAAGAGAAGAAAGGGTTCCAGTGGGAGGACTCTGACTTCAGGGTTGGCTGAAGTCTGGGTCATTGATTATTCTAGAAGCAACAGGCCTGAGTGGGGACAAGGATTAGGGGTATTTTTGTCCCTGCAGTCTACTAATGCTTGTGACAGTAAAGCTTATTCATCCAACAGACACTCAGCATTCAAGGAAGTACTGAGCAGTCAGTGTAGTTCCTGAGTTTGAGAGATGAATAAGAGTTGACTGCCCTTAAGGACGTGCTGGTTAGCGGGGTGACAGACACGGGGCTGGATACTGCTCTGTGATAAATGCTGGGCTCAGGATGTGTTTGAAAGGGCTACGGGGCCTCTCTGGAGGGAGTCAGTAGCCAGTTTGCAGAGGTAAGCCAGGAGGTGGAACTGGAAGATAAGATGACTTTGTGGAGGGCAGGTTCATGTAGTAAGCAGTACCAGTCTCTGAGGCGTACTGTCTCATTTCACATTCTTATTCCAGTATCTTAGTTTACCTTTGTGTAACCCAACTATCAGACTGAGATAATAGTAGTATGCATTGCATAGTGTCATTAAGGATCAGTTGAAATAATCCATACAAAGTTGTGGAGCTGAGGGCACATCTCAGTGATACAGCACTTAACTGACATGCAGAGGGCCATGATTGAAGAATAAGCAAATAATTGCCTATGCAGTACTCAGAAAGTGCTTGACATGTGGTGAGTCCTCAGTAAATGCATGCTTTAGGAAGGAAAACAGTTACTAGCCAGGTGTGATGTCTGCAATCTCAGCCCTTGGGAGGCTGAGGCAGGAGGATTGCCACAAGTTTGAGGCCAGCCTGAACTACAAAGTGAGACCCTGTCTCAAAAAAAAAAAGATATATGTAAGATGGCTTTGGATTCAAGTTCCTTAATTGTGTCCAGGGTGCCATCCAGGGCTCCTTAAATGGAAAATAACACGAAGTTAGAGTACCAAATGTAATGACAGAAGTTAAGAAAGGTAAACCAAAGAACCCTCAGCCACCTCTTAAAAAGCAGTGGATATACATTCCATGTGAGGATAAAATATTTGTCTTCCAACTAGCCATAATTTTGTTTTCACTTTATGTAATGAGAAGGGTTGTGCTTCGTTCTAGCTGTTTTTGTTTAGAGTTGCAGAGCCTGACATTTGAATAAATGTAATGAGTCATTATATAAGCTTTAAATTCTGTTTGAACAAATTCTGTTTGAGACAGCCTGTTTATTCACCATGTAAGTGTATACTAGGTGCTTATGGTACATTGTTGCTGGTTCATGGGCTGATTTGATTCAAGTTTTAGACAAGCGCTTGGATAAGAGAGTGGACGACATGCTTGCTGCTGGGCTTTTGGAAGAACTAAGAGATTTTCACAGACGCTATAATCAGAAGAACTCTTCAGAAAATAGGTAAGGATTTAGCTATTACTCTGATTTATTCTCCATCCCTTACCTATGTTTGAAAGACAAAAGACATATAGTATTGGCTTTATATCTGCTTTAGCATTGGCATTGGCATTGGCAAGACTTGTTGGAAGGAGCTTTAGTATGTATGTTTGGTACAGTAGCTGTTGTCTAGTCTTTCAGACATTCCCAGGAGCTGGTGGGAGGGTAGGGAAGAATTTCAGAGTCATAATTACTCAGGATCCCAACTTCCTCATCTGTGCAATGAAATGGCCCAACTGGGCCATCTCCAAGGTTCCTCCTAGCTCTCAGAGGCAATGGCTCATCTGCTGATGCTCTCCTGTTCCCAGCCAGGACTATCAACATGGCATCTTCCAGTCAATTGGCTTCAAGGAATTTCACGAGTACCTGATCACTGAGGGAAAATGCACACCAGAGACTAGTCACCAGCTTCTAAAGAAAGGTGTGAATTTCTCCGTCTAACCTAGTCTTGGACATCACATCCTTGGGTGACAGAGTATCTTGCTGGTGTGGTCAGAGCAAGAGCTGAGGCTAAAAGAGCACCAAATGGCCTTTAGCTCAGAATTGAGACTGTCATCCACCAAATCTAACATGATGCAGATTTTCTCTTCTGCTGGGTGGGGAAGGCCTGAGTCTTGGCAGTGAAAGAAGTGTTTACCTAGATGTTCCTCCTCTTACTGTATCTTTCAGGTATCGAAGCTCTGAAACAAGTAACTAAGAGATATGCCCGGAAGCAAAACCGATGGGTTAAAAACCGTTTTTTGAGCAGTAAGTCTCCTGAGTATTCTCATCCCCTGGGCCCCTTTGTGATAGAATATAGATGCCCTCTGCTCACTCCGGAAATGAACTTTAGGTTTTGAATTAACAGGTTAGTGTCAGTTCTGAGATTTAGGACCTGACCTGCGGAAGGGTCTGTGGCATAAGTGATTGTTTGGGGGGATTTCTTGTGAGGTCTCAGGGAAAAAAAGTTTCCAGTGAAAAGTCTTCCTCATGCCTTGAATGCGTGGTATAGACTGCAGGTAGGTGAGAGCAAAAATAGTGACATCTTAGCAGAGTTGCTATTCAGGGCTGATTTGTAGCTTCATTTCATACTAAAAGAGTTCTGTGTGGTGGCACATGCCTGTAATCCCAGCACCCGAGGAATCTGAGGCAGGAGGATGGCAAGTTCAAGCCCAGCCTGAGCAACTTTTGCTTTTTGTTTTTTTGTTTTTTTTAATTTTAAAAATAGAAGGAGGAAGGCTGGGGATTTAGCTCAGCGGCACAGCGCCTGCCTGGCAAGCGCAAGGTCGTGAGTTCGATTTCTGGTACCAGAGAAAAACCAAAAAAAAATAAATAAAAGGAGGAAAACAGACAGACAACCTTTTACAAAATAGCAAAAGAACAGTACAGACAATACAGAGTTACAAACAAAGTGGTAGGAAATTAACAGTGCTTGTTGTATTA